AGCGGCAGGGCCTACACTACGAGCGGGGGTCCCGCGGCGAGCGGCCGGGCCCGGGCCGCCGGGGCCAGCGAGGCCCGTGCTGGTGGGGAGAGCTCAGTCCCTCCTCCTCCTCCTCGCCCAGGGCTCCTTCTCAGAGGCTGAGGAAATCCTCCTTGCGGTACCCCTTCTGCAAGAGAGCAGGCCCCCGTCACCCGGCCGCCGCAGGACGCCCCTTCCCTCACCGTCCCTTTCGCTTGCCACCAAAGGGACGATGCCCTGGGAACATCACCCTTTTCGGGAGAGGAAGGGCTGCAGTTTGGGAACACCTGGGTGCCTTCCCGAGGTCAAGGCAATAGCCGCGCTGCCCACAGGGGGCCGCCCTGGGCCGTGCCAGCAGGGGCGGCTCAGCGGGGCGGCACGTACCATCTTGAAGTCCCGGTGGAGCTTGGTGTATTGCCACATGTTGCCCAGGAGGCTGGCCGCTGCTCTGGAGGACTTCTCGTTGTCCGAGGCTGGGGGGGACACAGGGGACACCGTGACCTTCGGGCACTGCCAGGCATGGGATGGTGCCCACGAGCCAGAGAGGACACCACCCCACCGGGATGAGGAGCTCGTGCTGGGGGGAAGAGGCAGAAAGCCCACCAAGCCTGGCAGGGGGACAAGTATTTCTGGCCCAGACAAGAAGCACCGCAACACAGTGGGGGAGGTCCTGAGGAGGTGACAAAGGGTCAGGTCGTGCCCGTGAGGCCACTCTCAGAGCGACAAAGCCCCAGAGCCACAAGCCCTGGGGAAGGGCACTGGTTGTGGCTCTCCCCCTCCATGGACAAGGGGGAGAAGGGGAGGGCAGGAGCGGATCTGCACTAGCTCCAAGCTGGGATGGTGGGGCTGGGGGAAGGCTGGCAGGTAAGTCCTACCTGTCCCTCCTCTTCTTGATGTAGAAGAGCTTTCTGAGGCCGTCAAAGTAGACGATGTCACGGGCGGCCATGGGGCTCTCCACCACCAGGTTGTTGAGCACCGCGATGATGTTGACGATGACGTCGGCAGGTGGCGACTTGTCCCCGGCGCCACCCGGCAGCTTCTCTATCAAGTGGCTGACCACCTTGGTCGCTAGCGGGCAAAGGGGTCACATCAGCGCTGGCACCTGCACCCACCCCAGACCTCCTGGACATGGTGTGGGGACAGCAAGAGAAGGTCCCATGGGGCAGGGGCACCATGGGCATCTCCAACCCCCAGCTTTGCTCTTCTGCTCTCTGCAGACAAGGGGGAGAGGATCGGCCTGGCGCTGAGCCGAGGGACGGGGACAAAGCGAATGGAGGGCAGCCAGCCCCCCGGCGCCCGCCTGGCCCTCCACGGCACTCACACATCTCGTCCTTGTTGCGCGCGTGGCGGGACAGGTTGCGGATGAGCCCCGTGAGCGAGCGCAGCTGGTGGTG